GGCCCGTTAGGACCGCGGGCCCGGTCCGGTCCGGTTCAGGCCCGGCCCACCGAGCAGCCCTAATTTGAATTTACAATGTAATCTAAGTCCTTATCTAATATATTTAAAAGATACACATCTAAACCATATCTGATATATCCAAGAGATACGATGGTCATCTAACACCCCCCGGCAAGCTCATGTCAAGTTTAGAGACATTGAGCTTGGACCGTAACTGAGAAAATCGAGAGGAGCTTAGAGCCTTGGTAAATATATCAGCTGTTTGATCTGTGGAAGGAATGTACCGAACAGAAAGTTGGCCACGATCAACCTTTTCTCGGACAAAATGGTAGTCAATTTCAATGTGTTTCAACCGTTGATGAAAAACAGGATTGGCTGTGAAATAAATAGCACTAATATTGTCACAAAAAACTACTGGAGCAGGAGGGCAAGGTAACTGGAGCTCCTTAAGCAGACTGGTTAGCCAGGATACTTCAGATGCGGCAAAAGCAATGGCACAATATTCGGCTTCGGTACTAGAGCGAGCCACTACTTGTTGTTTCCGCGATGACCAACTGATGAGATTATACCCATAATATACAGCGAAACCATGATGAGAACGTCGATCATCAGGATCAGCAGCCCATCCCGCATCACAGTAAACATGCACAGAGGAAAAAGTGGATGGTATGATGGAGAGGCCATATGTAAGGGTACCTTTCAAATAACGAAGAATTCTTTTCACTGCTTTCCAATGATCCATTGTAGGATTGTGCATATATTGACATACACGACTCACAGAAAAGGATATTTCTGGTCGGGTGATGGTCACATATTGGAGAGCACCAACAATGCTCCGATATACAGAAGGACCAGCAAAGGTTTCACCATGTTTGCTTAATTGGATAGTGCTGTCCGCTGGAGAAGGAGAAGGTTTGCAGTCGGTCATCTTGGCTCGAGTGAGTAGGTCACGAATGTAATTAGCTTGAGAAAGGTGTATCCCAGAGCCTATACGATTAACTTCAACACCCAAGAAAAAAGAGAGATGTCCCAGATCTTTAAGGGAGAATTGAAGGTCAAGTGCTTTGGTGAATAAGGATAAATATGAGGGGTCACTACCCGTTATTATAATATCATCAACATAGACCAAGAGGTAGGTAGTAGAAGATATAGTATGACGAACAAAGAGGGATGAATCTGAGTAACAAGATGTATACCCATGTGAGATGAGAAAGGTTTTGAGCTTGAGAAAGGTTTTGAGCTTGAGAAATCAAGCGCGGGGTGCTTGTTTGAGACCATATAAAGCTTTAGAGAGATGGCATACAAAATTTGGTCGAGACTTCTCAACAAATCCCGGCGGTTGAGTCATATAAACAACCTCCGAAAGATCACCATTTAGGAATGCATTATTGACATCCAATTGCTTGAGAACCCACCCTTTAGATATGGCATGAGAGAGGACAAGCCGAATAGTAGAAGGTTTCACAACAGGGCTAAAAGTATCATGAAAGTCAACACCTTCTTCTTGATGAAAGCCTTTTGCAACTAGGCGAGCTTTGTACCTTTCAATGGAGCCATCGGCTCGACGCTTAATACGATAAACCCATTTGCAACCTACCACATTTACATTGGGGGGACAAGGAGTGAGTGTCCAGGTGCGGTTACGGAGCAGTGCGTGATATTCTGTATCCATGGCACGAAGCCACTCAGGGGAGGAAGCAGCTTGCTTGTAAGTTTTTGGCTCATTGGGAAGGGAAGATGAGGCTGGAATAGGGTGATGAGATGCAACAAGAGCTTTAGGTTTAAGTGAATTTGTTTGAGCTCGTGTAGTCATATGGTGAGTAGAGGAGGTTGCTGGCCGGAAATACGTGGGAAGAGGGTTCGGTAGAGGAAGATGAGTTGAGATAGCAGTAGAGGTATTTGTGGTGTTTGGCATGGGAGAAGCTGTTGGGGAAGCTACTGGTGGAGAAGTTGTGGGCAATGCTTCAGTAGGTATTGTGAGGGGAGAGGGGGGATGTGGAGGAAGGATATGAGATGGTGAGTTGATATTTGAGTCAATGGAATTTGAAATGGACTGTAAAATTGTCAAGGATGGTAGCTGTGAATCTTCATTGGAACTGGAAGTGGGGGTGTTGTAGTGAGGATAAGGAAATTTGTTTTCATCAAATATTACATGGCGAGCAATATATGTCCGATTGGTGGGGGGATAGTGACACAAGTAACCTTTGTGCTTCGAACTGTAACCTAAGAAGACACATGGAAGAGAACGAAAGTCAAGTTTATGATTATTATAAGGACGAAGAAAAGGATAGCACAGATAGCCAAATTTTAAGAAAAGGACGCAGTCTAGCGGACGGTGGTATACAGCTTGGTAGGGCGACTTGAAGGATAATATCGGAGTGATTGTTCTGTTATTTAAGTATGTAGCAGTGGAAAAAGCATGTTCCCAGTACCGGAAGGGAAGACATGAATGAGCAAGCAGAGTGAGCCCTTTTTCAACAATGGTGCGGTTGCGTCTTTCAGGAGCCCCATTTTGTTCATATGTATGGGAACAAGAGAGACGGTGATTAATGCCAATAGATTGAGCATAGGAAGACACATTGCGATACTCCCCACCCCAATCAGTTTGCAATTTTTTTATTTTCTTGCCAAATTGAGTTTCAACCATTTTATGAAAGTATTTGAAGACATCAAGAACTTGAGATTTAGTCGCCAAGAAAAATATCCAAACGAATTATGTGGCGTCATCAAGAAATTGAACAAAATACTTATTTCCATTAATTGAGAGATGCGGAGAAGGTCCCCACACATCAGAGTACACCAAATCAAAGGGAGATGAACTATGACTTGACGAAGAAGGCGCCTATGGCTTTTTCCTAATTGACATGATCCACAGATACTGGACATTTTATTTGACGATAATGGCAGACCAAAAGTAGATACTAAACAACGTAAAAGTTGCTCATGAGGATGACCAAGACATTCATGCCACGCTTGGAGCGATGCACGAGAACAAACAAAAGTGCAAGGAGCCATGGGTGAGGAGGACTTGGAGGAGACATCAGGAACCCCACCATTCAGACGGTATAAGCCTTGATCAATTGTCCCTCGAAGCAATATTTTTCCCTGAAGATCCTTCACAAGACAACAAAAAGGGTGAAATTCCATAATTGAGAGCCACTTCATAATTTTTTTGGTGATGGAAGGAACATGGAGAATGCCATTGAGATGGAGAGGGCGATTTGGACATGGAAGGACAGAGGAGCCCATGTTATGAATAGGCAGTTTATGGCCATTACCTACAGCAAGTTGCTCGTCACCATCATAGCCCGTATAAATAGAGAGTTGAGACAAATCTGACGTTGCACCGTAATCAATGAACCATGAATTGTCAACAATAGCAGAAGGAGAAATTGTATTAGCTGAGGGAGGGACCATATTGGCTTGTGGGTGGTTAGAGGATCTGTTTGGAGGATAGGCATCAATGTTGCTACGATTGTAGCAATTTCGGGCATGGTGATTAGGCTTCTCACAAATCTGACAGATAATGCGAGGAGAGAAACGGCTATTAGGACGAGAAGGGTTGTTATTTGGCCGAGTAAAGGATCTTTGGCCATTGTTTGGTCGTGACTGCTGGTTGGATTGTCCTATGGATGAAGGACAACTAGGATATTGGCGAGAGAGGACATTGGCCTGAAGTTGAAAAGCTTTGTGTTCCTCTGCAAGTTTTTCCTCTTCCTGGAGAAGTAAACCAAGAAGAGAATCAGTTGTGAGGGTTTCAAGTTGAGCATTAATAGCTGAGCGAAAAGGGCCATATGAAGAGTCTAGACCGAACAAAATAGAGCTCATGAGTTCTTCGTCCGTGATAGGACGTGCAGCAAGGGCTAGGCTATGGGAAATTGTGCGTTTCTTGTCAACGTATTCCATGACAGAGGAAGAGCCCTTAGTCGTGGTTTGAAGTTGATGGCGAAGTTGCATAACTCGGGCACGTTATTGGGATTGATAAAGGTTGGAAAGGTAGGACCAAGCCTCATGAGTGGTACGGATGTGCATGATATGTGGTAGGATGAACTGGGAAATGGTGGTTTTGAGCCAAATGAGGAGAATTTTGTCTCTTTTCTTCCATGCTTTGAAAGCTGGATTAGCTGTAGGTTCGGAAGCGATTGCATTTGAAGTAGCAATGGTGGGAGAAGGAATGTCAGATCCGTCAAGATGAGCCTCTAAATCGAAGGCTTCAAAACACAGAGTAAATAGTGAATTGCCAAAGGTAATAGTTGTCCCGATCAAGTTTTATTGGTAAACTAGGAAAGACTCACAGTTTGAGAGTTGGAATCAATAATGGAAAGGTGTGTTGATGTGGAAGAAGATGGCTGAACTGTAGCGGAATTAGCAGTGGACTGGTTAGAGATAGTCATGGTGCCAGGAAAAAAAAAGAAGAAAAAATTGGCTCTTGATACCAAATTAAGATTGAAGCAGAAGTGAAAATGTAAAGCCTTTTTGGTTGAGTTTTCACCAAGGCTGTAGATAGTTTATATATAGCAACAAATGTACCGCAGTAGCCTAACTGACCTATGACTTATAGGAATTTGAATTTGCGATGTAATCTAAATCCTTATCTAATATATTTAAAAGATACACATCTAAACCATATATGATATATCCAAGAGATACGATGGTCATCTAACAATTTCGTATGAGTGTTTCTGTAGTTTGAAAAATCCATGTTTCATTTTTTGGTTAAGACAAAAATAATCATCTAACATACACAAAATCAATTCTTTCAAAATCTAATTCAAACATATTGTTCTTTGATAAATATGTAAAAAGGAAAAACGAAACTGTAATTTTCTGCTTGTGTATTTGATGAATGAAGAAAAACT